AAACAACATGCTTTGATGTAGACAATATTATACTTGAGCTGTAAATATCTTGCAATACAATCTGCTATAGTGTTGATCAGTAGTGATGTAGTAAATAAATGGTAGCAAATTAAAAGTGAGAAACCTTTAAAAAATTTTTATATTTTCACATGAAATATAAAAATGTAACCAAGGATGAAGTAAATGAGATTGTGAGGTCACTTGTTATGAAAAGCAAATGCAAAATTTGTTATTTTGCTGCATTTGTTGTGTTTCTCTAGAGACCTTGACTTCACACACCACATTTCTTCAACTAATTAGGCAGAGATATTGCGAGCTCCCTCAAAATGTAAAGAATTTGCTAAGAAAACCACATGTAGGTTTTAACTCCAGGTCTTCTTCATAAGTACAGGTCACCCTAATTGGGCTAACTCCTGTCCAAACACTGCAGTGCCATCCAGCCTAACTAATGGCCCCTGTCATTTCACAATAAAAGAGGAGGATTGTATCACAGAGAATGGGAAACTATCACAGCACACTCACTAGAATAGAAAAGGTATCACAATACAGGACAAAAAAAAAAACACTGCATAGTAAAGGCAGAGTTTTGATGTTGTTACTGACATGTTTAAGTTTGCTTATTTCTTAAGCCTCCCTGATTGGTTGGAAATGTTGCCACTGTAAATGGCTCAGGGTTTAAACAGACCGAGGGGACCATTGATTCATTCACTCATTTCATCTGAAGGTGAGGGACCCAACCACATGCCAGAGATTATACATATTTCTTTGTCAAGGCTGAGATTTTTATTCATTTATATAATGATTTATTGTTTTATAGTGTTATGGTATAGTTTGTTCTGAGTGGGCCTTAACCCCTAAGCCATTTTGTTTCCCTTTACGCATTTGTAGGGTTTAGGTTGTTAACATCCTAACCACACTGACTATCTTTTTTAAAACTGAGCGAAGAATTCAAACCCAAGAGTTCGTATTTCATATACTTTTACCTAAATGGAAATATTCTCAATGTACATTATTTTTATACACACATTCATTACATTCAGCCCAACATGTTTGATGTCTTTGGAAACTTTGGGACCTCTGCTGGAATTTAAAATAAATGTATGTGGATTTGAACAATGTTTAGCTGCACAGCATGATTGACCACAGTTGGGCACTGACTGTTACAGAAAGAGTTTTGGGAAATATGCTTGTCTATGTTTTGCCAAGAGGTAGATGAGAAGTTCAACACTACTGTTAAATCTGTTTATTCAAGGGT